AGGCTGCCATCTGGGGAGAGGGGGTAATTGGGGGGCTGCAGGAGAGCTTCCACCCCCAGAAGCCCGCAGAGCCAGCCCAGTCCTCCCCATCGGGGGCTCGTACCCCATTCCTCCCTGAACTAGCTAGTTCGAACTAGGCTTAATCCTCGTAAAATGAGGTTTACCTAGTTCGAACTAAGCGCTCCGCTAGTTCGATTCAAATTCGAACTAGCGGAGCGCTAGTGTAGCGCCTATTAAAGTTAGTTCGAACTAACGTCCGTTAGTTCAAACTAACTTTGTAGTGTAGACATACCCCAAGTTCCTTTGGCCCTGTATCTTTTGGGATGAGGAAAGACCTTGCTCTTTTGCTCAGAAGGTTCCCTGTTTCCTATGAAAAAGGTCCGGAGAAGAGATACAAAATGATTAAAGGTCTAGAAAACATGAGCTATGAGGGAAGACTGAAAGAACTGGATTTGTTTAGTCTGGAAAAAAGACTGAGGGTATGCCTGCACTTCAGCGTTATTTCGAAATAACGCGTCTACACACAAAATGCATTTCGAAATAGCGTTTTGCTATTTTGAAATAGTGCATCCACACTGAGTGTATGCTGAATTGCATTTAAGGCTGGCCAGAACCAGGTCCGGCAGGGCATCAGGTCAGGCGATACTTTGTATGGCTGCTGCCTGAGGCTATCCGAGGCCTCTGCTTAAAGGGACTTCCCCTGGACAGCCGGTTCTCAGCTTTCCCTGCTCGCTTGTCTACCTCGATGAGGGACAGCAAAGCATTTTGTCTGTGCGTGCTCTGATTGCCCTCACTTGGGACACCACAGCACTCTGCAAAATGGAGCCAGAGCTGCCCCTGGGCACTCTGGTGTTTCTTGTGGACGTGTTGCTGGGAGCCTGGCTGCACTTTCTGCAGGCTGCCAGCCGGGAGGTCCATCGGGGGGATGTCAGTATCCAGGTGGCCCTGCGGGAGAGCTTCCACCCTGAGGAGCACTAAGAGCCTCCCTGGTCTGCCCACTGGGGGTTTGTGCCTCATTCCTCCCTCACGTCCTTCCACTTCCCCTCCCTAACCTCCCTTCCTGATGTCAAATAAAATACACATATTTTCATGAACACAAACTCTATTTAACAAAACTGGGGTGGGAGGAGTGAAACTCTGATGAGACTGGGGAAAGGAGGCGGGAGAGGGGAAGAGAGAGGGTGGGAGAGGGGAGGGGGAAACCTGGGAGGAGGGAGCTAGAAGGGGGAAGCAAAGGGAAGAAGGGGGAGGGGAAGCTCAGGGCTCAGGGTTGGGGGTCTCGCCGGACCAACTTGATTGTCATGCAAACCTGCTTCTGGGTTCACATGTGGCCTTTGGTGGCCAGGCTGGCAGCTATCTTGCCATGGATGGGCGTGTTCCTCTGTCTAGTGCAGAGATCATGGACATTGGGGGCATCCCCCCCAAACCTGAATAAGGTCCATGATCTCCACCCTGGATCAGGAAGGCACCCGCCTCTCTGGTCCCTGACAAGCTCCTGGGAGCTGGCAGACTGCTCCTGGGGAGTGGTGGAGGGCTGGCTGCCAGTGGCTTGCTGGCTCATGTTTTGGGGCCACTGGGTCAAGGGCAGTGACTGCTGGCTCTGGGCTGGCAGGCTTGGAGCTGGCACTGGCACTGTGGCCAGAATCAACCCCTTTAAGGGCCCTGGGAAAGGGGGAGGCAGAGGAGTGTTCTTGGAAGGGTATGTCTACACTACCCTGCTAGTTCGAACTAGCGGGGTAATGTAGGCATACCGCACTTGCAAATGAAGCCCGGGATTTGAATTTCCCGGGCTTCATTTGCATAAGCGGGGAGCCGCCATTTTTAAAACCCCGCTGGTTCGAACCCCGTGCAGCGCGGCTACACGGGGCTTGAACTAGGTAGTTCGGACTAGGGAGGCGGGAGGTGTACCGGTAGTTCGGAATAGGAATCCTAGTCCGAACTACCTAGTTCGAGCCCCGTGTAGCCGCGCTGCACGGGGTTCGAACCAGCGGGGTTTTAAAAATGGCGGCTCCCCGCTTATGCAAATGAAGCCCGGAAAATTCAAATCCCGGGCTTCATTTGCAAGTGCGGTATGCCTACATTACCCCGCTAGTTCGAACTAGCGGGGTAGTGTAGACATACCCTGAGAGAGGAAATAATAGCTTTCAAATACATACAAGGTTTACAAGGAGGAGCGAGAAAAAACATTCTCCTTAACTTCTGAGGATAGGATAAGAAGCAGTGGGCTTGCATCAAGGGAGATTTAGGTTGGACATTAGGAAAAACTTCCTAACTGCCAGGGTGGTTAAACACTGGAATAAATTGCCTAGGGAGGTTGCTGAATCTCCATCATTGGAGATTTTTAAGAGGAGGTTAGACAAACACCTGTCAAGCATGGCCTAGCTGATGTTTGGTCCGTGAGCGCAGGGGACTGGACTTGAAGGCCTCTCACGGTCCCTTCCAGTTCTAGAATTCTATGATTCTATTCTATGAGGTAAGGTTAATTCCTTTGGGCAAACATTAGCGAAACAAAAAGGCTCATTATTAATGGTTCCACCTTGCAACATCTTCTTTGTCCCTTGGGCCAGCTTATCGTGTATCCCTTCAGGTGAAGGTATGGAGTCCTAGAGGCTGCTGGGAGAAAATTCCTTTCCCAAACCACTTCAGTCTGAGCAATTAAACAAAGACAAGTGAAAAAGCTACAGAAATGGACTAGAGTTTTCTGGGGCCTGTTTTTCCTTGATTGTTATTTTGACTTGTGGGTGTGGTGGTCTCCTCTGGCAGACCCTGTCTGTGAGCTCAGCAAGGGTGTTTATAGCACATACCAAAGCACAGACTAGTCTCTGGGCAGCCCTTTCTGTTTTCATTTCTGTAGCCACTTTAAGCAGCAGTAATACCACTTGATGTCACATCTCCTTGGTCCACACTCCCACTCATTGGACGGTGTTCTCCTCTCCCATGGATTTCCAAGGAATTACTTCTGATTTGCACAGGTGTTAGCAAGAGGAAATCCAGGCTTGTTCATTATGGGAGTGGGTATGTTACAGATCTTAGGGAGCACAAAGGAAAAGCATAGGCTTGGATGGCTGAGAATGTGGCTTTGGCCAGCGGGTGCAATATTCATGCCTTTTCCGTGCACGGATATCATTTCACTAGCATGCGGGATAAGCTATCAATATGACCTCATCCTTGCGATTGGTCACACATTTTTGGGAGAGGGTTTTATATCTCACACGCTGAAGCCTCATCTCTTCTTCTCCCCTGGGAGGTTTCCTCTGTGACAGGCGTAATGAGAATGGGAGGGGGCAAAACAGAGGAAGCAAACACCTGGCCACCTTTTAAAGGCTCGTTCCCACCAACTCTGCAGTGCAGTAAATGACATTCCAGCTGAGCTAGACACTTGCAGGGCACGTCTACACTAGGAAATTATTTTGAAATTACTAATTTTGAAGTGACTGCTTTGGCTAAGAGCATTTAGATTGTGGCTCTGGGATGCTGAAGAGAGTGGAGTCAGAGATGTTCTCAACCTTAGACAACACTTTGCAGCAACAAGACTATCACAGTGCTCTGCATACAGTTCGTTAAGCCTTTTAGGTGAGAATTGCTGAGCGACGGTCAATTATGCCTGAAATCAGTGCACAGACTCTTGCTGACTTCAACAACAGCAGGACCAGGGCTAGGGTCAGGGTCAGGGTCAGGGTTAGGGTTAGGATCATTATCTCCATTTTACAGAGGGGAAACTGATCCACACACAGTGAAATGGCTGACTGCAGATCACCAAGGGGGTCAGCAGCAGAGCCAGAGCTGGAAGAACCCGTGTCTCCAAACACCCATTCCTCTGCTTTGGCCACAAGAACATCCCGTTTTCCCCTCCCACTCATTTCTGTGTACTTTAGAAAGGTATGATAAAAGCTCCATGTGTCCCTCTCATACTTTGAAGCACAGGTGACAAACAGGGATCATTTAAACATTTCGCTCTTGGACTGGGCTTGAAGGCGCTTTACTCCTTAAACCCATTTCTACAAGTCAGTTATTTTCCCCCTCCGAGTCCCACTGCATGGTCAGGATGTTATTTTTTGTTTATGTGCCTTGACATGCTCCTCACAGAACTGTGATGATATAAAACTTGGACAGGGAGACCGGGCTTATTTTTAATTGCCTTTGAGGGACCCCAATCAGATCTCCAAAGTGATGTCAGCATGGTAATGTTGAAACGTTATTCGATGGTGTTTATGTTACACAGAAGTAAATCAAGCTCTTGCATTTGTATTGGATCTATATTCTGAGTGCAAATGTAAGGGAGGATTGGGCCACAGCCTGCATTCCCAGAATGACCAAGATTAGATTGTGCAGAGTCCCCCTGTCCCCGGTTGCCTGACACAGATCTCTCGGAATCGTTTACCTAGCTACAGAGTGTGCAGCTTTTCAAAACAGCTCTCTCCCCAGGTTGACAAAGCAGTGCCCCCGTTCTTTGATTTGAGTTCATGGCTTCAAAATGCTCCCATTTCCCATTCTCAATTGTGATCCCATTCTGGACCCTGAATATGGGGCACATCAGCAGAAATCTCTCAAATATGCATCCCCCCCAGATAACGTACATCGGGTCAAGGGTACGATTATAGTATTATTATTTGTACTAACAGACGTACCCAGCATTGCCAGGGTTCTTCAGGCCAGGGGGCTGGCACTGGGGGAGGAGGTGCAGGAGTCAGGGCAGGGTCTTGAGATTGTGGGGGGCTCAGGGTAGGAGGCTGGAGGTGTGGCGGGGTACCAAAGTTAGAGCAGGGTTGAGGAGGGGCTCAGGGCAGAGAGTGGAGGTGCAGGAGTTAGGGCAGTGGGTTAGGAGGAGGAAATGGGGGGCTCAGGTCAGGTGTGGGCTCAGAACAGGGGGTGGCCAGTGGCTTCTCCCTGGGGGTGGCCTGGGGCAGGGGAGGCTGTGCACATTGCCTGCCAGCTTTTCCCTGGACTGGTGCTGAGGGTTGGGGGGAAAGGTTTGGGAAGGGGGACCATTTACCTGGGCCAGTGGCCAGCAAGATGGTGAGCTCCAGCCCCAGCAGGCCACCATCTTCCATATGCAGCCACCCAACCCGCTCTCTGTGGTCATTCTGCAGTACAGCTGTCACTCCGATCAGCTCCCTTCCTTCCTATGTTATGGAAAACACTCCCATTCCAGGCACATCCTGTTTTCCTAGCACAACCAAACCCAAACTTTTCTTTAAGTTATGATAAGAGTAAGCGGCATACCAAATTTGGGAGGAGTTACCATTACCATTTCAAAGGAGTTCTTAAACAAATGAACTCACAGATAGACAGACGTACAAACCTTTTAATATGTATCTATAGATTATGGTAGCATGTAAGGGCACCATGCTGCTAGGTGTAATACAGACACAGAGTATGAGACAGTACCTGTCTTGAAGAGCTGACAGTCTACACCAGGGAACCTTTTTAGAGTTGGGGGGCACTGATCCACAGAAAAATCAGTCGGGAGCTGCACACAAGTGAGAAACAAAATAATCCTCACTGATGTGGCCCCCAACTAAGGAGAAAGACACTCTCTACATTTCCCTCACACACCAGAGCCTTGGGAGACCCAAGCTAGTAGTTTCTGTGTGCTCCAGCTCCATAAGATGTGTGTGGGAGGGAAGAGAGCTGGAGTGCCAGCTTGGGCTCTCCAGTGCTGGGGAGGAGTCCCAAGCCTTGGGGGGCTGGATCCAGGCAACCCGGAGGCCACATCTGGGCCCCAGACCTTAGGTCCCCCACCCTGATCTAAACCCACAAAGAGCAGGAGAAAGGGAGCATTAGCATCTCCAATTTAGAAGTGGGGAACTGAGGTACAGGGAGATGAAGTGACAACTTACCCAACATTGCCCCGGGAGTCTGTGCAAGGACTCACACCTATTACTTCTGATTCCCACACCAGGCACCTTATCAACAAGCTCTTGTTAACAAAGATTTGCCACCCTGAGCTGATTGCATTATTGTGGTACTGTGCAGAAGGTGGGCATGGCATTTCACAGGGGAATAAGATGTAGCAGGAGCTTGCCAGAGTTAGCAATCTCAGTGGTACTTAGTACTACTATATGGACCAGTATCCTATAGATAAAAATGACCGTTAATAACTAATGCTTCAAATACAGGTGAAAAAACTGCCTGACTCATTGTGGAATGGGAGGAAATCCCTTTCTGACCCTTGTGATTATTATGATTTATTGTTGAAGACTTGCACTGCTGTAGCATCCAGAGGCCCCCAGAAAGGATGGAGAGAAACAGATCAACAGCTCATCACCAAATGCAAGCTACTGGAAGCAAGAAAAAAAGGGGAAATTGAGAGACCTCTGGGCCAAATACACAGGATTTTGTATAAATATTCTCTTCCGTCTCATCTGCTTCCCTATCAAAGTCCCGCTTTAAAGTGCCTCCAAGTAGCTGGGATTTGCTGCCTCCTGAACTAGAGCCAAAACATGCCATTTCCAGTGGGATGAGAATACAAAAATAAAGAGAACCAATGCGAATATTAATGAGAATTTCCACTCAGAGCCCTTTCTACTGCTCACTGTGGGGCTAGCCTCGATTTTACTTGACTTCTCGTGGTCTGAGATTTTCTTTTAAATAGTTCTAATTTCAGGGATGATTTTGGTTGGGGGATTTGTTTAGCTTGCAGCGTCTCCCTTTGTCAGTGGAGCTGCCTTGTAAGTAATTAAGCTGTTGTTCAGTCTCAGTGTAATTGCTGCTGTCTGCTGACAGGGCACTTCTGCCAACCAGATGTTTTTTATCTTGAAGAGCCTATCTGGTGTAACTATTTTTAATTGGTAAATAAAGAAGGAAAGGAAATACAGTTGCATTTTTTTCCCTTAGCACTATATCAGAGCATCATTCATATATTTGCTGCCAAACTGGGTTACTGGTTCTAAAGTTAAGCACGAAAGACTTATGCAATACTTAAGTCCCTTCTGGACTGGGGTGAATCTCTATTTGGGAATATGCAATGCCCTGATGGCATCTGTTCCTATTTACATTTGGGAATATGCCCTGATGGCATCTGTTCCTATTTAGGAAGCAAAACTGACATACCTGATGGGTGAAATTGTTTGATGGAAAGAGATTTGTCAGCGGTGGTAGTTATTTTTGGACACCGTGAACATGCAATATAATTAGAGATAATTAAACTTCAAAAGGTTCAGAGGTTCAGATGCCAATAAACACCCAGTGACTTGAATGTTTCTCAAACCTTCTTTGAACATCTTTGTTCTGGACATCTTTGGACTTTCAGCTTCTCATGTGAGATATTATGCACATCTTGCTTTCAGCTTAAGCTATACATGAAGAGGAATTATTCTCTTCCATGCTATTGTAGAATTTCTGCTTCTGGTCCCAGACAATTCCATGAAGTGCAGACAACACAAAATGTTAACTGAAACCTTTTAAATCTTAAATGAATGATCATTAGTTTGATATTTAGCGAGAGTCAAAACAGGATGCAAAACTATGTCCTGCTTTGATACCAGCTGCTGAAACCCGCTGAGAATGTACGTTATTTTACATACACATTTTGCTATTTCAAAATACGATTTTATCAGCCCTGTTGCTTTATGAAAGATCCACATGAACAAGAGGGGAAACTGATGAACTACACAGGGACAATGATGAAGCCAATTGCATCTAAAGTTCTATTAAATGCAGAAAGGAAACACTGAAAAAAGAGAGAAAGAACTTTTTCTCTGAGATTTTTCTGCACAGCCCATGACCACAGCATCTACAGACTTGTCCAACTAAGCTCTCGGTTTGAGCTTCTTAGGTATTACTTGGTACAGTAATGGGTAAAAAATATCTTAGACACAAAGTCCATCTCCCTTCAACAAAGATTTGGCTTTGATTCAACTCAGGGTTTGGCTATGGGTGCAGGTCAATTCTTATTTTATCCAAACTGCTTGACTATCTTCCACCCCTATGA